GTGAGAATCTGTACATCAAGGCAATGTGATATTTAAAATAGAACAGCGGATTCTATTCTTGGCAGTTGGGATTACATTACAACAGTAAAATGTTATATCTGTAATACATACTGTATTATCATATACTGCTTGTAACATGATGATAGATAATGGTATGATTTCCTCATTGCCACTAATCATTGGTATTACCAGTAATTAGTGACAATTAAGAAATCATACCATGAAGTCTGGTATTGTCAATGTTTGCATTCTTCAACACTACTTCATCATGTACACCTAAAGTATATTAATGTACACCTACCACCAGCAGTATATAGTAATACAGCTTATCTGTTTAAATAGGATCTTTCTTTTTATATAGTACCTGTTGTACTGTCTCTTAGTTGATTTTATAATCATTAATTATGACACTCTCTCCCTTTCTCTACTTCCTTTCCTTGTCTTGTCTGACATTTATTTGTTACAACAATTAAAATAATCCATGACAAAAAATAATGCATAACAGCTATATCTCTAGTCTCTGCTATTAAAATTGAATAATTCACTACTCAAAATATTTAATTACAAAAACAATCACAAAAACACAATAAAATTGAATGATTATTAGTTATGACAAGGAGCTGGTAGTTTTTTACCATTAATCCTCCTCATAGCTTCACATGCCATCTTGAGAAGCTTAGATTTACATACATTGCAAGGATCTAAAAGATATACAAGTTATATGGAACAGTCGATACATGTACTATAGTCATACTTGGTGGCATATGATTCAGAGAAAATATATATGTCCCTGGTATGGTACTATTAAGCATCATAGTAGGGGCATCCATGACAGTAGTACCAAATGGAAAGAAAGTAGGATCAGGGGGTACATGTTCACCTTCAATAAATGAAGCTAATCCAGTATCAGCTGATGTAATGCTCACATTTACATAAAAAGGCAATACCAAATGTATTGCATCTACCAGATACAACTATTAACTGGAAGTTACTGCCCTAAAAATAATAAATAAAGTGATTAGAAAGTATAGCTAGCTATTATTAATAGTATTTCATGTATTAACTAATTAATAATACTAACTGAGTTTGAGCCAAACTTCAGATAATCTATCCATGTTGCTATTATTAATTGTGTAGGAGGAGATGTACTGCAGAAAGTATTAGGAAATTCTTCATTAATCTGATCCATAGCTCTCTTTACCAATACTTGATCAGTAGTAATCCTACCATATATCTTAGTATTTAAAAAATGACCAGTAAGTATCCGGAGCAAACTCAAAGAGATCCAATTAGCACCATTTTCCAATACCAAGCTCCCATCGCGATAAATCTATAAATATAAGGAAATGTTATAAACTCAATAAATTGTGTTACTAATAAAATGAAGAGATAATGGTTAGTGTACAATTGCACTACATTACAAACTAAAGCACTAATAGTGTGTGTGTGTGTGTGGCTATTAACTCTATAACTTGTTGCTGTAAGTCCAGCTGGACTAAGGATAACTAAATTATCAATTGGAGCCAGTAATGGTGTAGGCCGATACAAACCAGATCCAATGCTCATGGAGTCCCCATACTCTGTACCATATGGATACAAGTCAGAGAGCAATAGTCCATTTGTATAACATGTACTCAGTATAACCTGTAAAGATAGTACCATACACTATCACATATATTGTATCTTACTAGTATTGTTCTTCTTAGGACTACTGATCCCATTATTATTGATTTTAATTGTTTCTCTATTGTAATGAGTTCAGCTCCTACTGTCTACCACTTTTATATCATCATAGAAGCCACAAAGTATGTAATATACAGAAACCAGTGAAGGGCCGGGCCTTTGATGTGTAGACTTCTCCTCCAGCTGTGTCTTCACTGAGCTGGTCTCCTCCATTATTTCTGATAGTCTGGTCTCTAGTGACGGCATCCTTTTGGTCAGTTCCTTGATCCTCCCTCTCTCATTGGTGAGGTTATACTCTAAACTGTTGATACTGGACTCACGGGCATCAATAACACCATGAGCATTCTGTAGCAGTAATAATAATAATAAAATTAATAATAATAATAATAATAATAATAATAATAAATGAGGATAATAATAATAAAATTAATAATAATAATAATAATAAAATTGATAATGATAATAATGGAATTAAGTGAACATTTTAAAGATACATGCCTGCTTTATGTACACCATACACAGTACAAGAATTAAACTTTTGAGGGCCACAAGCAAGCTACACCTAATAATTTCATAGTGTTACATTTCATAAGTTTATTATGTTAAATTTTCCACATCCAATTTCAATCATGTGCATGTACATTTTTACTTATAGAGATAGCAATAGTAAAATTAAATTTGTATTTTTTGCTATATTTTTGATTTTACAAAAGTTTAGTCCTTCAAAACTATACAGGAAGTGTAAAATATGTGTATTTACATGTAGTACATGTACATGTTTTTCCCTCCCTCCAGGCTCCCTCCTTCTCTCTCTCTTACTTTCAGTTCCTCCATGATATCATCAATGGTCATGGTAAGGTCTTGTATCTTTTGTTCTCATCCTCCTATCCTAGACTTCCTCTCATTGATCGATATTAATCATGTCTATGACATTCACCATTCACCTAATTATAATGTAGGCCAGGCCAGGCCAGCCCACCAGTATGTACCCACGTGTTTGCACGTGGGTAAATTTGATATGTTTAATGCAAGCAAGGGCATGCTCTTGCTCTCACCTTAGTGACAGACTGACAGGAGCGTGCTCTATTTCCTCCTTCTCGAACATTGATATCGACTCCTTCTTACTCAATTTCTAAATCAATCCTCATACTCTCAGCCTTAGGCAAGGCATGGCATCCGTATCTCAATCAGTAGGCTTATGCAGGACCTGCTTTTACTCTGAGGAAACGCTGGAAAACCTATCTAAGGCATTTGATGCATCATATCTATCGAAGTCTTATATAAAATATGTCACACTCTCTTCTTTTAGTGCTGATTATGTCTCTGTATACTCCGACATTGAAGACTTTCGCAGACAATTTGAAATATCAGGATTGCCAATGGAAGGGCTGAATAAGTGGATACAGTTATTGTATTTCCAAATTATGATTGATCTTCCAGCTCAAATGGAAAAATCATCATCAGACTATTGTTGGAGCTGTCATTAGTTCACAGCAAGACCTCTGTCATACCAGAATTGTTTGAGTGCAACTCCAAATTATTTCGCATCCATGTTTTAAGTGAAAGTGTGATAAAGAAGGGAACCAGTACACAGGATGTCATTTTGTGCAAGGTTATTGAAGGAAATGCACCGTTATGTCATCATCTTATGACTACAGAATTTTATAACATGCCATGCATTTTTATTGGGGACACTGATACGAGTGCAATAGCCTAGATAATAAAAAGAGAGAGCTCAAGGAACTCGTGCTAAAGCGTGATATGTTATTGCATAGAAGAGGGTTTGATGGGCATCCTATGGGATTAATACTCAACAATTTGAATGTGAAATGCTTCTTGTCTGATCCACAGAAAGGAGAATTTACTAAAGAATTTTTTCTTGGAGTTTTTCCTGATATAATAAATTTGTTAAAATTATTAAATCGACGATTGCACTGCTGTCAATCACCAAATGCAAAATATATTTTTGATGTATTAGAAAGAGAATCTTCATTTGAAAGAAAGAGGAAGTTTGATGAAATTGTCACCAGTACTGTTCCGCTGATGTCTCAACGAAGGGTCTGCAAACAAATTATGTGAACAATAACAAG